GGTGTGGGTGTGGGTGTGGGTGTGGGTGTGGGTGTGGGTGTGGGTATTGATATAGTGGAAGTGAATACACCTACCCACACTCACACCACACACCCACTGCCCACACCCACACCCACCCACACCCACACCCACACCCACACCACACACCCACACCACACACCCACTCCTCACACCCACCCACACCCATCCACACCCACCCACACCCTGTATCTATATGTACACAAAATGACAAAAATGTACTAAATAAAAATTAGGAAAATTTTATGCTTGAATAGAAGCGCTCGATCCTAAAAAGAAGGAGCAACTCATTAGATCCAGTGCTGTCTTAAGACCTGTTCATTGAACAGATTTGAGAGTGTGAGTGTGAGTGTAAGTTTTCCTTTGAGTCAGATCGATTTCCATCATCATCACAGATGTTTATTACTCTACTTCGTACCTGCACGATGTAAACATATCACATGCAACACATATTTACTATGGAAAGAACGAAAAAGGAGCAGAAGAATAAGAGAGATCAATAAGAAAAAAAAAATAAGACAATTGAACGACAGTCGTTATGATTACATGAGTGCAACTAAGGATTATTATATAAGAAAGAAGCAGCTGTTATACAATGTGTGGGTTTTGCTCCGTAAGAAGTTGATAGGACTTTCGGTATAACGGGAGGCTGTCTATATGTTGGCAAACGCATGTAATGCGTCATTTGGTGTAAGTTTTCCATTCTGTTGGTAATACTACTTTGAAAATAATCGACATGCATTGTAACTGCATTAAATAACATAATATATTTTATTTATTCGATACTAAACGGTAGGGACATGAGCGTGAGTCGTTGTTAAAATAAGACCCACAAACCACATAGAGATTAGACTATTACAGACTTATTTTTCTGAGAATCGAGAGTCATTGACAATAACGTGATAGAGCTCATACGAATCGACTAAATAGCCAACTAGCGACTAAAGAATGACTGAAAAAGAATTCAGTTAATGTATTTTTATAAAGTTCAAATTATTTCATTTAGGAGATAGTACGGTAGTGGATGTCGACAAAGGTTAGACATCCATATCAACCCTCATCCACCCCTCAAGATTCAAGTGGTTCAATCTTCAGGCAAAATTTGCATCAGCCTATGGCGGATTGATATCAGTCTTATATCGATTAACGATATCTTTTTGAGCCAACTGACTTTTCGAGATTTTTTTAATAGTGGACGTCCTGAAGAGAAAAGGAGATCTTCGGACACTAGACAAACCTATAGAAGGATGAGGCGAGAAAAAAACAAAAAAATACGATTTTTATCTGAACGTCTTTAATGAGTGATCCCAAAAAGAAATATCCAGTAATGTTCAATAAAATATATCCTCTCTCAATCACAATAGATCTACTAAAAAATACAAAAAAACGCCAAGTCCGTATTCTGAAATGGACTCGTCAGAAACACGAACGCTATGCAGATATGGCACAAAATGTTATAATAAAGATCCATCTCATCTCAAAGAATATTCTCATCCACACAAACCACAAGACGCTAATGATAAGTGCAAATCAAATGATGCACAATCTTCATTAGCAAAGCAAACTCGATGTCGATATGGTAAAGATTGCTATGACAAAGATCCATCTCATCTCA